GCAATTACTATCTGCTGCGGCGTAACCGGTGGCAGTTCGATCCACTTGTCCAAGCCGGGCTCGTTGCATACAAAATACACCTGGAACAAAGTCGACCACTAGGATCACGCTCAGGAAAACACGCGCCATGTTTTGCGTTGCATATTAATTCGGTCGAACGCCGCGCTTTGAATCCCGTCGATGTTTTCCACGTTTCCACTTCGATTAATTGAACGTTGCTTAATGATATCGTTACGTTCGATCGTTACGAAACCAGAAACTATAGCTCGTATGTGTAATGTCATTGTGTTCCTAGAATTTCTACACGAGATCGTTTTACATTCTTGAAATAGATATAATTTATAATTATTAAACGAAATGTGGATATACATTCATTGTGAACGCAACATGAAAATTGATAATTGATATATTAATTAACAGGATGTCGAAACACGTTCATACGTGTAGAAAAATGTATACATGAAATATTCGTGTGTATCTATACGTGCTTCATATCTAACGACTAACACATTCAATGAAATTTAATCTACTCTTTCTCTGCAAGCTTTACGATATATTTATCAAAACATATTTCTAAGAAGATTCTACAGCAATGTCCATTTTCCACAAGATGAATAAAGCTGCAAGATAAATGCAAGTCGCATGTAACAATTTCTATCTCTTTCCTTTGGTAAAGGACAATTCTGCTATTTTTAGTTGTACATTAAAATAGATCACGAAGTGTACCTTGGCATTCGCGCCAGTTCCGATTCTCTCCGGAGGTACTTCCGGTGGTGGCACCCACGAATGAGTAGGCAGAGGCGGAAAGACGAGCTTCAAAGCCTCCTGTTCTTTTTTCTCCGTTGCCCCTGCTGCTTCCACGGTTTCAGCAGCCTCTCTCTCGGCTTTTGCTTTCTCTTCCGTTCTCATTTGTTCCTCTTGACGCTTCCGTTCTTCCTCCTCCGCTGTTCTCTATAGACGCGTGGACGTGATTTCAGAAAGTGCTTTGCTCTCTTTCCTTCTGAAATGAATTTGCTCGTGATTCAAGCAAATTTTCTTTTTTCTTTTTTTTTTTTTTTTTTTTTTTTTTTTTAGCCAGGTAAATAACGGCATATAAGCGAAGTAATAAGTTACTTCGTTATGAAAAATGTAGAAACATCTCGTTTCTGGAGTTATTTATCTCTTTACCTCCAATCTGTTGTTCAGTTCTTCTGGTTCTAAGTCCGCTTCTACCACGTAATAATTTTTCGGACTTCCAAGGATTTTCCCCCAAAATCTATCGTGCGAAATTATTAATTTAGAAATATTTCTTAGGAACTTATCGAGGATTCCTGTCCAAAATCTGTTCTGTCACGCTGTTCAAGAACAATTCTTCTAATTGTAAGCTAAAGATACAATTTTTGACATATACTTGACATTTTCTATAGGAGACTCAGCGATGAGTTCTCGTATGGATAAATTAAGCAACACCATCTGTGACCGAGGCAGCCCCACGTTCGTCTGTTCGAAATAAAATAAAAGATCCAACATATTCGGCATTTTCTTCCTCGTGTCCCCTTCTTCCTCTTGGTCTTCTGTCTCGCGCTTTTCTCCCTCGCTTTCGTAGATGCTCTGAACGTTCTGCAATTACAGCGAGACGCTCGAACCACGGGGTCGAATGACGATCAAGTTTCTCACGATACGCGTTATTATTTATACGACAGCTAAATCACGGATCCCGAGGTTAATCGTTAATTGTCGGTTGTCCGCACCTGGAACAGCTTGATGATCTTTTTCGCATCGTCGAGCTGCGTCGGTGGAACGTATACGTCTCGAAAATGATGGGACATGGTCTTGAATCTCTCCTGCTTCACTCTTCTGCTGAATTCCTCGAATATATCCACCGCGTTCTTTGGCCTCTCGGCCAGTATCTTGGCCAACACTTCCGTCAGATGATCGTACCTGGGAATAGGTTTGGAATTCAAAAACATCTCTAAGAAAATTCCTTTTCGTTGCGTCACTTTGTGTATGTTTTTTAAAAATAATGGAAACGATTCAGAGCCAAGGTGTCTTCGTCTTATTTAATAATATGTCGAGCACTGAAATAATCGAATTTTAATGAAACGTTTTCTTATGTTATAAGATCAAGTCTCCTTTAATAAAAAAAAGATTATATTTCTTAACAATATATAAAATTTAATCTCCAATTTGCTTTGGCCGAGCAGAATTATTTTATAATTTTTCTCAGACTGAGAATTATTTACTTTCCACGTTCTACGATTGCTCGATTGTGGAACAAGCCGGGTTTCATATTCGCGTACTCACAGGCTATCACCTGACTCCGGACTGTGTTTCTGAAGGAATTTTTTAGCACGTCGTATATCATGCTCTACGCAGGGAACATCGTCGGGTGGTACTTCTTCGACATTATAGCTGTACGCCATTTTAAACGTTGGGCTATTTTCTCCACCGACGCATCACCATTCCACTCTCGTTTTCCACAGTAAGCCTCGCGAAATGTTTCTCTAATTTTTATCATGTGGCAAAAACGTTTCATACGCTGACTGTCATTGTTTTGTTTGGCGACCCTCTCCTTTTCTTTCCTTTCTTCTTTTTTCCTTTCCCCTTCATTTATTTCCAGCGTATATAATCAGCATCGTTCATCCGCTCCACGACCACTGTTTCGAAAGCGTTATCTAATGACCCAATTACATTAACGAACCGAAAACATCGCTAATCAACACAAAATTAATTAAATCCTGCAGATAAATACCACTATTCTGACGTCTCGTTGATTCCTGTTTCCTGGAACGATGAGGTTCATTTACAACGAGGATGTAGAGCATTGTAAGCGTAGCCATTTGCGTTCAAATGGGACGGGAAGAGAGTACATTCTAACGCGAGATAATTCGTCGAAATATTCTTTGTCACGTTTCTTATAATGCTCCTGCGAACGAAGTTGCTCGACTTGAATCTTGGTGAAATTTAAGTAATTCGAGTAATCTACGATTTTTATCTATTCATTAGAAATATAAAATTGTCGAATTACACAGCGTTACATTTAGATAGTAGATACTGTCTGTCTGTTTCTAGAGATTGGCGCGTTGATTCAAAGACATGATAAAAGTATAAAATTCTCGTGACGTGCAAATTATTAAGCTAGTCGTAGCTAATTGTTAGTTAATCGAGTTCCAACGAGCGACGAACGAGTGAACGGCGTAGTAGAGAGAAACAGAAGAATGAACTATATAACGTGGACATGAATGGGCATCTATCTCAATGGAATTAAATCGCGCGCACTGCTTTCTATCAGTCTGCATCCCGGAGCTGGGTTTATCGTCTGCCCTAAATAGAAACGTTGTTTCTCGAGGTCACTAGCTGCTTCCTTTGACGCCCATCCCTCGTGTTCCATAACAGGACACGTGTCCTGCCGTTGGAAAAAATGACCTAATACAGCGATAGCAAGCGAGCTGAATTTAGAATGCTTCCTGGCTGATATTTTTTGGAAGTAACAAAGATAAAAAAAAAAAAAA